TGGTGTTTTCAATTACGTTGTTTTGGTTAGTATCACAACGTCTGTTCCAATTTTAAAATATGTCATGGCAAATTAGACATAGGGATACAGAAATTCAGAAACAAAAACTAGTTGTTGTGATTTGAAATTGTAGTCTCAGAAAAGAAATGCAGTTTAGTCAACTTAGACGCAACTCTTACAGAAAATAGCAACAAATGCACACATACAAAGTGTAACAAATAATACCAAGTAGTTGAAGCAAAACGCCATAAGCTAAATCAATAATAAATAAGTGCAAAGGTTGTCATTAGTAACATGTGGTCTCGAAATTTTACAGCATTAGTTGCTCCTCGAATAAATTATTCCACTTGTAAATATGACACGTGGTAAATAATCTGCGAAAGCTGAATACATGTATAAATAAATATTTCCTCAATGAAAAATATATTTCAGCTTATCATAGAAAAGTATACAGTACGTACTCGTAAGAGATCTTTTACGTCATATTTATCAACGACCACTTGATATACATTCACTGTCCACACAGAGGATTAGACAATGTTTCATAGATTTAAGTAATAGTTTCACATTACTAGATTGTTCACCTATTCGATAAAACTATTGCAAAATGTTAATAAAGAGAATAGTAAGTAATAGTCATTATCGAATTTCCCCGAAATAATTGTAAAGTCTGGTTTTATTGGTGCAAGTTGTTCAAGGGGGTTTAAAACATGGTCTCATAAAATGGGTACATACATTTTTGTGGGCAAACTTTTTATTTCACAACAAAGAATGAGAAAACGTGTTTTTTGGGATTCAATCGAAAGTGTGAAAGGGACGAAAAAATTTTTCATACAATATTTTTAGGTATTTATGAGACCTACAAAATGAGGCGACACGTAAAAAGATCCGACTAAAAGCAAAAATGTAGAGGCAAAATGCACGTTTTGGAACTTGATGGTAATGCGACGATAATTTCAGGCAACTACGTGAAATTCTTCAAATCCGTAGGATTCGTACTTCTAAATAACAACAACAAAATTGGAGTATATTGGTCAAGTAGTTTTTTGAGAATTTCTAATTGTTTGTCCCGAAACACCTGTTTTCCGGCCATCACTACTAGTTCATTGAGCAATATACAGGGTTCGATCAAAGAGCATTTAGTAGCAAAATACACCTGTTTACCTTGCCGATATGAATCACAAACCATTCCGAAAGATAAATGTCATTTTTATGCGAGAACAAAGGTTACGTTTTTTCTTCTAAACAAATTCTAACATTTCGTATTTGTGAGTAATTAAACAAATGCGCTAATATATTCGATACTTTACACATTTTAAAACAAAGCGGATGTGTCTATCATCGAGTACGAATCGTACGAATTTGAAGAATTTCAAATATCTGCGAGAAACCAGCGTGGCATCACCGCCAAGTGCCAAAACCTGCATTCTGTCTCGGTTTTCGGCCCCAACGTTTTTGCTATTAGTCGGATCTTTTTACGTGGGGTCTCATTTTGTAGGTCACATAAATACCTAAAGATCTTATATGAAGAGTTTTTTCGTTCCTGTCAACACTGTAGATCGAATCCCAAAAAACACGTTTTCTCGTTCTTTGTTGTTGAATAAAGTTTTCCCACAAAAATTGGTGTACCCATTTTATGCGTCCATGTTGAATACAACCTTGAACAACTTGCAGCAATAAAACCACACTTTACAATTATTTCGGAAACCTGGGGTATTTTCGTCTAATATGATTGGACTATCGGATTTTAAGCGCAAACATTGATTTTGAAATTTCTATTTCACGGGCTACAGTCCAAAAGGCTCGGTGGATTTTGACATTTGTGGTGTCCTTAAGTTCGTACTGATTAATTACAATTAAGCTTTTGTTCAGTTTCTAAATTAGAATTGTTTGTTTTCTTTTGAATGTACTTGTTTTTTGATTGATTCCGACGGTGTTTTGATGAATACACAATTTTAAAAAGAAATACACGATTTCTTACAAGAATGGTGCCGCATGTTACAAGAGTGTCGTTTGTCATTTAAAGTATGCTTATAAGCAATTCTAAAAGCAATCATGCCCATTTGCCTTCTGAATCAACATTGTCAAATTGTGTGGTGGCTTGGTAATGGTCACTAATTACAGAAGAACAGTTTTAAGAATAAAGCTGACATTTTTGTAAAATGAAAATGTATACTAACTACTGTTACTTACCTTGTTAAACCTGTAATAAAGAATCTTTCATTTTCAAACCTACCAGAATAGTGGGCACACAATACTTCAGTATATTCTATGCAGATCAAATGACCTACGCAGATCCAATTTTGTTTTTCCTAATGAAGCATATCATGGCTCGAAAAAATCATATTTAAAAATAGTGAGAATCAATGAAATGAATGAAAAACTTAAATAATATTATTTTCCAAATAATACTCAAATCGACCGAATTTTACAAAATGCTCTGTTATTGGAGCATGTAGACACTGTATAAATATTGCATTCCAAATTCTTAAGCCCCCCATACACGTGCGAACAATTTGCGCAAGCCTGGTACGGTTTATCCAAACTTTCGGCCTACTCCTGCTCCTCAGGCAGTTTCCTCGCTATTCAGTGGTTGAAAACGAAGTTTAGGTAATTTCATCTCTTTAAATGAGGCACCGCTTACAGGGTATCTCAAAGTGGCCAACAATCTCAGTTCTGGAGATCTTGCGTCTGTCATGATCGTGTTGTTTTTCACTATGAGGGGTGTTACCTTTTCGAGCAGCTCGCTGAACGAAGCTGCGTCAATTCGAAGATATTTTTGTAGTCCTCAGCTGACGTATTATTTTGAGCTCAGTGACTGAGTTCGCTCCTCTAATGGAGAAAATTCTTCACCCACACCCTTTGCTTTCCTTTTCTTTTAACCTTCCGTTTCTCGGTCACTAGGGACATAATAATGGCGGCACAGCAATCGTCCGTGTCCGACATGTTCAACGAACAACACCACAAAACGATATGATGTTTGCGCAAAAGGTTGCACGTGTATGCGGGGCTTTAAGAAATGCTTTTTTTTACAGAAAAGGGATTATTGTAACCACTTGTTTCAAGCACAAATAATAAAAAAATGTAAACAGCATGAAACCTATTTATAGATAACTATTACGTTGTTATAAACAGAAGTGAATCACCACTTTTTTCACATTATATGGATCAATATAAAAAACGGAATACAAAAACAATCGCTTGGGATAAAAAACGAAGCAAGTAAAAAACTGATTTCATTTAGAGCAGCTGTTGAACCCATAAATGTCACCACTCGGTAGCAATAAAAAACAATGTTATATTTTTTAAAAAACGTTGCTGTGGACCTGATATATAAATAGAAAAATAATGGGACACATTTTTCCAAAACGTCAGTTTTATTCTCTCTTTCAGAAGGCAATGTACGGAGCCATCAAAATAAAATCCAGTATCAACTTCGCAAAACAAATGTTTTTTGCAAATAACCAACACACTTAACTTTTGAAGTTATGAAAATATTTGTTACATTCTTGAATTCATGACATTAGTTTTGAATATATGTATCGCTTCAAAAATAACAGTTAAAAAAATGTCAACGTTGTCTAGGAACATACTCGTACATGAATAGATACATCTGAGGCACTGACACATACAGGGTGGCCGATATGTATCTTGAATATTTGTGAAATGAAACAAAATACGTCCATTTTTTTTCATCTTGATCTTTTATTGAAACTTAGAAATTATGCATGAAAAATAAGACAAATGACCGCCTCTAGAAGCCGCGCAAACCTGAGCCCTCTTGATTACACTTTCCATCACTTTTTGGTAGGTTTCGGGAGGAATATTTTCAATCGCTTCCGTAATATTGTTCTTCAGCTGCTCTACAGTATTTGGTTTTTCGAAAATTCCCATAAAAAAAGTTAGGAGCCGTTAAATCCGGTGACCTTGGTGGCCAGTGTACACCACCAAATCGAGAAATTAAACGTCCCGGAAATATTATTCGCAAAAGATTCATTGTTTCCCTAGCTGTGTGACAAGTTGCCCCGTCCTGCTGGAACCACATGTTTTGCAGGTTTTGCACCATATCACGGTTGCGTTCGCCAGTGAAAGTAAGAGAATTACCTGCAGTGTCTTCAAAGAAGTAAGGACCAATGACACCTGCATACGACAATTCTGCAAATATTAACAAATCCGTTCATATCGAAGTTGGCGTCAACGCTCATTATCAGTAGTCGGTAAAAATCGTTAATTTGGGTATTAAGCTGCAATATTACATGCCTGTATTGTTGGCGACTTTCATGGTCATGGCTGTAGTTTTTGGGTTAACTGAATTTTGTATGGTTGCAAATGCAAGTCTTTTTTTAAAATAGTGCATAATGACGTGCGACGAATACCCAGTTCTTGAGAACGATGTCTGGTAGACGTCTCAGGGCGCTCCACTACACTTTCACGAACTCTCTCGATATTTTCCGGAGTACGAACAGTTCGAACACGGCCTGACCTTGGCAAGTCTTTAACTTCATCTGTTTGTTCAAATTTCCGCACCAACTGACGAATGGTGTTGAAACTGGGCACATTATTTCGACCGAAATCGGCTCATTATCCGAGTAAAACGTTTTAACAATACGGACGCGGGATCGTGTAACGCTTAAAGATGAATTGGACACACGTGCTTTAAACAACTACCACGGCGCCACCTACTGAAATGCGTGTATCAAAAATGGCGCGCAATTTGAATCAGTCAGTTATATATTGGGCACCCTGTATTTACATGGATAAATATGAAGTATTTTAAGGAATGCTCGAAATGTTTAACTGCTGAGCAGATAAAATCATTTGGTTTTAGGAGTATCCGATGTAACAATACAGAAGACCAGATAGTGAATAATTTCAAAATTCAATCTGGTAGTGAGGGTGTTGACAATAGTGATACGTCAGTCCGCTGACTAAAAGACAGAATTGGTTATTTGGTAGTGTTGGATACTAGATTCATATCTTGGTCTTGAAATTTAAGAATCCTACCTTATAACGTAGTTGACACTGACAACACTGTGAGGCTTATGTATCTTGTCATGGATAAGTGTAGCTTGTGTCACCACCCAAATATAACCTCCCCTCTTAGCCAGGAAGCGGTAGCGGTTCGTCTCACACTGTCCTTTTGCAAATACTGTAACAAGTAAATACATATTGCAAAATATAACAGAATTTTTCTTTTCAACATTGCGTCATATCGTCAGTCGTTCCTACAATTGTAGGACGCCTTTATCGCCTCCTCGATTGCATAGTCTTCTATCTCCTTCAGAAAGGCTGGGGTATTTTCAGATTTCTAATGTTCTTTCAGGCTGATAAAAATCAAGTTTTCTTAGAATTCATAGAGAAACTATAATCTCAAAATAGAGTACTGACACGGAACAGTAGAAATCTAGCAATATCTTTCGGAAGGACAGGAAAAACTATGAAAATCAAAGAGGCCATAAAGGCGTCGAACAATAGTAGGTACAACTGACGATACAGCCCTAAGCATTCACTATTATAGGATCGCAGTGAATCCTTTAGAACTAACAAAGACCCCGATAGCACGAAATATTCATTAAATATTTAATAATATTTTTATCTTAAATATTTGTTATCTTAAACAAATATTTAATAAATATTTGGAATTTAATATATTTTCAATATTTTAAATACAATATTTATTTTATAATATTCATAAAATTTTTACTTTTCAATCAACGGAAAATATGAAATCTTCATTATTTCACTATGATAGCGTACTTCCTGTATACCTCCAAGTGGTACATTATTTGAGTGTTTTTTGTGGAAAAGGGTAAGTTTTTCGATAATTACATTGCTTAGTTTATCTCACTAGCAAACATTATTGTGCCAGTTGAGTATAAAGGTATTTACAAGACCATAAATAACTAGCCTTGAAGTGTAACAGTTATTAGCGATTTGGTATTGGTGGCTTTATCTGAAAATGGATACGAAAATTATATTCATAACATCCCAATGAAAAGTCATATAATCTTAACTTGATCGGGATACATCGAAAATGTTTTTTTTGAATATCTCAATTATTATCATTATTATTTTTGTCGTAATAGGGGGAAAATCAGCTGTTACTATTTTTAAATTTTCAAGTTCAACTCCAAAATTTTAACAGTCGAAAATGCTATATTTTTGTCCCTTGAATTATAATATAAAATCGCACAATAGTTAGGACTAAATTAGCCCCCTTACTACTGCAAAAAAGTCACATTTCAACAAAGTCAATAGATGGTCTGTTTTTTAAACCTTTTCTTTGAAAGTTAGTCAAAGGATCAAGTTATACCCATGGATAATTTTCATCAAGATATCTAAAATATCATACCAAATTTTCTTAAAAATTAACCAAATCTCGAACTCAAATAGGAAGAAAATGTGGGGTCCTTTTGGGTGCATTATAGAACTGATTTTCAGTGACTCAGTTTAGCTACTCGGAGTAACTCAGCAGTGCTCAGCACCAGTATTGTTTCACTGCATTTTATATTCCTATAAATACCCTTTCTAGAGTAGTTTGGGAGAATATCTCTCTCAAACAAAAGACCACTGAAACTCAGCTTATGTATTCAATAATACTTCATTTTTTACAATACACCATTTTTTTGGAACACTTACGCTATGACATTCTATAAAAGTGATTTATTTAGAAAATACTATCAAGAATACTTACAACACTTGTAGGCAGCAAGTATAGCATCACTGTCCATAGCATGGTGATACTCATATACTGATTTGCCAAGAAGGTCATTCTGTTCATATCCCAAAATATTCTTCATACTGAAAAAATATAACGGAAGGCGTTACTGTTATGGAAAAAAAAACGGAGTTACTATTACCGCATGGTTGCTATTGATTGCAGATATCAACTCTGAAGTAGTTGAACTAAGTAGTTGAAAAAATAAGAGCCAAGCAACAGGGATTGTATCAAAACTATATACTTGATTACAGTTCTTTGTTTTTTCATTTGGTTTGGAAATTTCCACAAGCACTGAAACTTCAAAATTCCTTATTTCTGGATACAAGCTGCGTCTGTTTCTGGAAAAAACAGTCCAGTCCCATTTAATTCACATTTAGCGCAAATTGGGAGCAGATTCCATCCAAAAATAAGGAATTCTTAGGAGTCTTACTTAATGTCTTCTGTTCTCATTATGGAGTTTTTTTGACACCCTTTAGACCAGGAGTTCCCAACCAGGGGGGCGCGCCTCCCCAGGGGGGCATAGTGAGATGTCAAGGGGGCGGAAAGCGTTTGCATTTTAGGAAGAAAAAACAAACAAACAACATTAACAAATAACATTCCAATGTAATGTTTAATTTACACGCATAAAATTAGAAATTAAATATCATATTCACTTATTCTGTCAACCGCTGTTTCAAAACCCGGCGTGGTCAATCGCAGTTTATACAAGTTTATACAAGTCACAACATCAAATCCGCGCGCACCCTCGCCGCGCTCCGCTTAACATTCATCACTTAGAAAACAATTGTGTACCTGCCAGACGCGGATGAGCATATGTGACGTTCATTCCCACAAATTTGCGAAAAATTTGACGTTTCGATGTACATGTTTTGTTGAGAAATCTGTTTGAGTGTGTCAAATTATTGTGTCTCACTGTTAAAAGGTAAGATTGTGTATTTACAAACTTCAGTTACCATTTTTATTTAATTTACTAAATTGATTGAGTGGAGACGCGTTCATTGATCAGCCATTGGGACTTTTTTACCACATCACCATCAAACCAACGTGGCGAAATAATTTTGAAACGACGAATTGTAAGCACCTAATATTGATTCCAAATGTATTTAAAATTACTATTATAACGTCAACCTGCCTACAAAAATATAAATCTGCCGGTGGCCAATATACTATTGAATACATTACGTTATTAAGATAAAATAATGGGCATATAATTAGTAATTACATGTAGGTATTTTATTTATTTATTACTTATTTGTTTTATTGTTATAGGTGCAAAATAGCAACGAAAAAAATAAAGTTTTCCGAAGATTACGTTATGTTTGGATTTACCTTAATAGAAAAAGACGAGTAACAATTGCCTCACTGTGTAATATGTATGGAAGTTTTAAGTAATGATAGCATGAGGCCCAATCGCCTTGAAAGGCGTTTGAAGAAACAACATCCTACTCTGGTTTTGAAGACGAAAGAGATTTTTTTCTTCTAAAGCAGAATCACTCAAGCGGATAAGACTGGATAAAGGTTGATTCTCACTATACATTCCGTTTCCATTCCGTAACCGTTCCGTAAATTATTGAAATTAAATATTAGCCTTCGCTTAAAGCAGGCTATTGCGTGTGTATGCACATTATCCGTAAGGTATACTGTGTATACAATCACATTGTACGGAACGTTTACGAAACTGATATGGAATGGAAACGGAATGTATAGTGAGAATCAACCTTAAATCGGGAAGTTACAACACAGGTGTATCGCAGCATCTCAAAGCTTCATTTGAAATAGCTTTTATGATAGCAAAGCAAAAGAAACCGCATACTATCGGTAAAGAATTATTAAAACCATGTGTCCTAAAAGCCACGCAGCTAATTTTAAAAGATGCAGAGCAAAAAATGTCTCTTTCGAATTACACAGTCAACCGTAGAGTCGATGACATTGCAGCAGACATAAAGTCACAAATAATGAACAAAGTAAAATTATTGCCATGTTTTACCATTAGTTGCGATGAATTCACCGACATCGTTAATTGTGCACAGTTAATAATAGTTTATGTTCGTTACATCGGCGGAGATATCATTCAGGAAGAGATTTTGTACTCCCAATCTTTGACTACATCTGAAGATACATTTAATTCAATATCAAATTTTATTGAATAAAATGATTTGGGTTGGAAGAAACTCATTGGACTTTGCACAGATGGCGCACCTGCAATGATAGGTGTACGATCGGGCTTAGCTAAAAAGCTCAAAGAAAAAATCCCGCAATGGTTAGTACACATTGTGTTATTCATCGGCGAGTTTGGCACGCCTTTATGAATTGAAAGAAGAGGTAATTATTTTTCTTGAGATCAAAAAAAAACACGATTTTTTGACAATGTTCAAAGATGACACATTTCAATTGAGGTTGTCTTATTTAACTGACATATTTGACTCCTTGAATGAGCTAAAGTTGAAACTTCAGGGCAAAAACAACACGCAATTATGATTATATTCAGGGGTTCATATCAAAGCTTCAACTTTGGAATCAAAAAGTGTCTTCTGAAAATGTTATATATTTTTCTCGGCTGTTCGAAGCAATTAAAAATAACATACTGGACGCAAAGTTAAAAGCTGATATAAAAACTCATTTGCAAGCGCTTGAAGACGAATTTTGCCGATACTATCGAGACATCAATTCAGAGTCACTAATATGACACATGACAAGAAATCCATTTGTTGTCGATGTGTCACAATTACCAGAGGTTCAGGAATAATTTCTAGAAATGAAGGCTGATTCGTCCATGAAAGATGACTGGAGAAATTTTGGATCAAAATATTGCCTGTTAATTCGTTACTTGCCTCTCTTGCTTTACGAATACTAGTTCCTTTTTCTTGAACTGTCTTATGTGAGACAGGCTTTTCTGCTCTAGTTTTAATTAAAACTAAACAGCGAAATCGTCTTGATGTCGATAGCGACCTGATTATAGCTCTGGCAGAAACAGAACATAGAATCAACCAACTGGTACAGAACATGCAATCTCAAGTGACTCATTAGTAACTACCCTTATTTAATTCAAGTTTTTCGATAAAAGACCTTTATTAGTTTATTTAAACTTTTAAAGTTTCTTTATTGGAATTAATATAAAAGTCTTTGTACCTTATAATGTGAGTTTCTTTGTATTTATTGAAAAAGTAAAGGGGAAGGCATGAAAATATAATTTATAGTCCGGGGAGCCTCAACAAAAAAAAAAGGTTGGGAAACCCTGCTTTAGACTATTTTTTGTGGGGGTATGTTAAATCTAAAGTATATGCCAATAACCTAGCAACAATTCAAGACCTTGATTGCAACATTCAATTAACTATAGCGGCCATACCAGCCGAAATGCTGCACAGTCATCGAAAATTGGTGTGTCCTGATCAACCTGTGCAAACAAAGCCGTGGCGGCCATTTGAACGATGTAATGTTTAATAATAATAATAAAATAAAGCCAATGAGTACGCAAATTGATCATATGTTAGTTGTTTTATTTCAATTTCAAATCCGTTCGTTTTTATTGGGAAACCCCTTAAATGTACTTCACTTTGTGGCCTTATTTAGTGTATCCTTTGTTTATTATTAACAATAACAAAGCGATTCATATCGCAACACAGATAGAATTTCTGACTTGCGAATAGCTACTTGGACATACTCTCCAGAGAAAAAATTTACGCCGATCTGTTGATTTGTCACTTTAGGAGTCAAAAGCCAAAAGACTGCGCTAAAACTAAAAACTACACAATTTTGACGACAAACAATATAATGTAAACATATAGGATTGGCTGCTAATCTATTCAAATTCGATGGTCTGTGGGCTATCTTCAAATACTCACAATTCATCATCGGCGTGTATGAACTTCATGTCCAAGCTGTGTTTGGTGAGGAAGGTTTGCTTTGGCAGTGGAGCTTCAATGTTTGATGGATGTGGAATCGGTTGCCCTACAGCTAGGAAACAACTTTGGACTCCGGTGCTCTTCTCATCTGTTTCTTTCTTTATGTTTAGAGATTTCAGCATGTGACCCGTACAATGTATCACCTGAAAACGGCAGTTGTTAATCATTCACGATCGAAAATTGTGAAATCCTGGATGATATTCCCAACAATAGCGCTCACGTTAGTACCCTAGTACAAGAAGTTACGCAAGAATGTGATGGATGAATAGTATAAACTTTAGTTCTAGGTTCCACACAAAATAGATGCGTATACAGGGTGGCCCATCCATGTGTGGGCGGAATATTACTCATAAACAAATACATTTTGGGAAATCTATTTATGGCATGTTATGCATGACATTTGAGGGCACATTTCTAAAATATTGACAATTATACAGGGTGTCCCAATTTTGACCTACATATCAAAGTTGTGATTTTTTAAATGGAATGCCTCAAATTTTATTACAAATTTGGATGAAACAATTCAAAATAAGAAGACTGATATGACATACTATGGGGTTTTGGTAATTAGCTACTGAGATGTAAGGTGTTTTGTCTAGAAAAACCCCCCACTTCGGCAACCCCTCAGTCCGCCATTTTGAAATTTGGAGTGCTGAATTTTGTATCAAAAAAAACTTACACACCTCAGCTTTTATCTTATTTGTTACTTTTTTGAATTTGAATTTTTGCTGATACAGGGTGATCAAAAACGCAAATTGTAGTTTTTGTCAAAAATTTCAAATGTATCAATCAATGGATTCATTTTTTTATAAGCTTTTTTTTGATGCCAGGGTTTTTAGGGCTATTTTTTCTGTTATTAGCACGTCTTTTATGGAACGGCTTAATTCCCTAAAATATCGCATCATCCTTGGAAACAAATAAATTGTTGATTACTTACAAACTGTCCAAATTAGCTTTTTGGTATGAGGTTTGATTCAGATAAAATCACTAGATTTTGGATTATTAAGCTTTTAATAGAATACACCAAAATTAAGGGAAAACATCACATCATCCATGGAAATAAAAGACAAAATAGTGAGCTAGTTCCATATTGCCACTAAGAGTACAGATTTGACGTAAAAACTAATAACAATCAGAACAGTATAAATCAGCTTCAAGTGTAATAGAGAAAAACAACTATAACAACAACATAAACAAACAACTATCACTACTCAAGACCTAATCTACAAAAACTGCTCGAAAATGCCTAACCCAATAAGGGTTTTCCGACGCATAATAGTACATGTTATCCCTGTTGACAACACCTATGCTGTTAAGAGTTGCCTCATCGCTAAAAAGAACCTTATCCAGGAAAGTAGTGTCTTCACTCACTTTATTTAGCATGATTCCACTAAACTCCATTCGAGTTGCGAAATCCTGAGGACGAAGTCCTTGATGCAAGCATAGGTGATATGGATGGTACCTATGCTTGTGAATAATCCTTTGGACAGAAGTTCTGCTTATATGAGTTTCTGCTCCAATTTGCCGTGCACTTAAATGGAGATTTTTCTGCAACTTTAATAGAACCTCCAACAGATTCGCCCCATTGGTGACACTTGGATTATTTATACATTTTTTACTATATTCCACTGCTCCACTTCATTCAAAACCTTCTCGTAGTGTGGAAAATGTTTCCGGCCTTGGATGTCGCATATTAGGGTACCGTTGCTTATAAATGCGAGATGCTAGGAAACTATTTCTTTGGGCTTCGCTCAAAACGAACACTATATTCACCATTTCTTCTTTAGAAAAATTCATTTTCACACACGTTTTTATTATAATGCTCACAAAGCTAATTTGGACAGTTTGTAAGTAATCAACAATTTATTTGTTTCCAAGGATGATGCGATATTTTAGGGAATTAAGCCGTTCCATAAAAGACGTGCTAATAACAGAAAAAATAGCCCTAAAAACCCTGGCATCAAAAAAAAGCTTATAAAAAAATGAATCCATTGATTGATACATTTGAAATTTTTGACAAAAACTACAATTTGCGTTTTTGATCACCCTGTATCAGCAAAAATTGAAATTCAAAAAAGTAACAAATAAGATAAAAGCTGAGGTGTGTAAGTTTTTTTTGATACAAAATTCAGCACTCCAAATTTCAAAATGGCGGACTGAGGGGTTGCCGAAGTGGGGGGTTTTTCTAGACAAAACACCTTATATCTCAGTAGCTAATTGCTCGAACCCCATAGTATGTTATATCAATTTTCTTCTTTTGAATTGCTTTATCCAAATATGCAATAAAATTTGAGGCGTTCCATTTGAAAAATCGCAACTTTGATATGTAGGTCGAAATTGAGACACCCTGTATAATGGCAAATATTTTATAAATGTGCCGTCAAATGTCATGTATAACATCCCATAAATAGATTTTTCCAAAATGTATTTGTTTACGAGTAAAATTCCGTCCACACAAAGGGTAGAAGCAAGCAATTATCGAGAAGCTTAGTCAAACAAAACGTGTTTAAAAAATACTGAGAAAGATAGTAATTTCTAGATGATGGATACTCTCTTTGTTGAGGACAGGTATAAAATGAAATTCATTTACTTTCTTTGCCTTCGCTTTCAATGTGTATGAGAGAGAGAAGCGTGCAATACCAATGCAATACATATGTTAGAAAGAGTGCGCCCTGTAAGCGTCGTCATCTCGTTGCCTAGCAACACAGTTGCTGAAATATCTTAAAATTTCTTTTGAAAGGTGATACTGACATGGAATTAAAGTCTGTGGGAACGTGGTTGTACAAGCGATAAACAGACTGAAATGATATACTGGACATTGCAGTACGACGTGCTGGTTGAGAAATGAAACCTCTGAATCGGACATTAACATTGTGACAATCACTAAAGTAATTTGCCTGCATGTTTAACCAACCTGAACTTTTTCGACGGTAATTAGTTCACAGAAATCACTGGAAACAATCACTTTTCTTTTGGTGGCGCGTCAAAGTGCCGTGTCACTGTCTCCTGTCACTAATGCGGCGCGAAATATACAGTTTTTGACGTTATATATTTCTTTTTTTATAAACCCATACCATACCTTATAAGTAGCAGATTTGAGATTGACAGATCTTCCTTTATTCGTCAATGTACACTTCAAACGGATGAAAATCGATCTGGGAATGTTGAACTCCTCCTGAGATTTGCCGGAAATGGCATCTCTGATTTCGTCGTGGTCGCAAGGGTGACTGAACTCAAATACGTTCTGACCCATCAGATCAATCTAGAAAATTTAACAACTCAATATTAGTCCATGAGCAACTTAACACTTTTAGAAATGCAAACTGATGTTGAGTGCTAGCTCAATCATAGAGAAACATGTAATTAATAACCAATATATAACGTAGCGTTAAATCACACGATTCCTAAAGATGTCTCACAAATAATTTATTAGCCAATCTGTGAAATGTGTCACGAATAATTTGATCTCAAATTTCAAAACAGCCTATATTGAATTTATTTCACTTGTTACATTGAACACTAGCCTAAACTGACTGGTTTGTATCTTGAACATTTGTGAAATGAAATACAATAAGTCCATTTTTTCCATCACTTTTTGGTAGGTTTCGGGAGGAATATTTTCAATCGCTTCCGTGATATTATTCCTCAGCTGCTCTACAGTATTTGGTTTGTTCAATTTTCAATTTCATTCAAACAATACTTATTTTTACTATTGGTTAAGATCAAATACAACTACTATGCAGGTTTCGGACACCACAAGAAAAATGTTTCTGTCAATTATAGCAGTTGATAACATGAATTGGGACTTTCTTTAATCAGTGTATCTATTTTCGTCGTTTTTTATTATAATTGCTCTCACTCAATTTGAAACGTGACGGAGGACTTATCTACTCCAATTTGTCCTTAAACTGAATAGATTGTTCAACTAATCACCAGATTCTTAAAATTCAGTTTTATGACTTCCAAGAAATGGTCGGTATTTTATATGATATCTAAAAGAATAAGTCCAGCATCATTGATATCCCTAGACTATTATAGACCAAGATATCTGGAATTTGAGAGAGAAAAAATGAAATACGCTGTTTTACAACGGAAAGGCCGTCGTCAGGAGATACAAAAAAAATTGCTGGCTAACTTTTTTATTAAACGAGGAAGTTGGAAATACTGGAGATAAAAATATTCTCAAAATAAGAGCTTACCTGGCCAATTCGCCGTAACGGTTAATTTATTGCAAAAAACGTCAGAAATCGTCGATTTATACATTTATTGTGAACTGGAAAATGCATAAGGTAAATCTGAAATAATAGCCAAAAGTTGAAGCCTCTAGGGCGCTCAATATCCAGACAAGAATTCATTCAAAAATTTTCAACCGTTTCCGCAATTTTCTAAAAATGGCATTTTTGGCTTTGGATCAATCAAATGGCCTCTCATTTGATTTATTTCGCTTGATAGGGACTTACTTTAATATCTTATTAAAAGATATACGTCGCCAAGACATCTATTTTTACCTTATAAGCAATGGAATAAGTCCATTGTTTTTAACAATCGTTATTAGGATGCTCATCACTGAAAAGCTGATAAAAAATACACACTTTAACGGAAGAAGGTACTTTATGGGCCCTTGGGAGCCGAAATACCATTTTTCTCAAAGAAGCCACCGTAACGTCATCAACATTAAGGGTTGCAATTAAGTATATAACATATAAAAAGTATCCGAAGTTCATTAAACTAAACTGTTGAAAAGTATATGATTTCATATTGCAACTACACACACCTTACAAAGGTGAGGCATCCCACAGCGAATTCAAATATCGCCTTTATGTTTGATTTTCTTAAGCAAAATATCTTTCTGAATTTTCTATTCAAGATTTTGGACTAAGAGACGTGTTTGCTAAGGCACCTGACTTCTACTGACAGATAGTTGGTGCACCCGAAAGGAAGTTCAAAACACTGATCGTTCCTTTTATCGACAAAGTGTGTATTTTTTATCAGCTTTTCAGTAGTGGGCACCCTAATAATAACTGTCCAAAAAACAACGGACTTGTTCATAAGGCGAAAATATATGTACTTTTGGCGACGCTTTTTTAGATGGTCTGAATAAGAGAATCTGGTATCTCTTTCAATATGATATTAAGCTAAGCATCTTTCAAGAGAATTAGCCCAATGTTTGTTTAATCCAAAGGCGCTGAAAAAAATTAGTTACAATTAGACAATTGCAGAAACGGTTGAGCATTCGTGAATCAATTGTCATGGATGTTAAGCACCACAAAACGAAGCCTTCAACGTTGGCTAATATTTCAGATTTACCATTATGCATTTTCCAGTAAAAAATAAATATAGAAATCGACGATATTTGACTTTTTTTGTAACAATAAATTAACAGGTATGACAGTAGTAGCCGTGTAAGGCCTCGTTTTGAAGGTATTTTCATCCACTACAAACTTACACCAATAACTCATGACGAATAAATTTGAGAAAATTATTTATTCAACTTTGACGTTTAATAAAAAAAATTTGCCAGCAAAATTTTTTGTATCTCTCAATAAGGAGCCTTGTCATATACCCTCAACAATATAATTCCGCTGTAAAACCGCTCATTACATTTTTTCCGAAACGGACTAGTCAGCTTGGTCTATTAATGAAACTAATATTCGGCATGTTTTTTTTTCACTATTAGATGTTTCTAGGCCAAATGCCGGTTTTATCGTTAGCTTTTTATGCTTTGTGGCTAAGAAATAAAATCTTACACTAGATCAACGGAACAGCATTTCAGTAAAATTGCAAATTCATAATCATTATATGGTGATTAAAATTATACATGGGCATCCGGACAGAAAGCGTTTCGGAAGATTGATCGCCGATTTTTTGTCAAAAAAAGTGTTTCAATTACTTTTGCGTAGAGTTACTCGGCAAATTTCGTGAGTTGTGGATACTTAACTTCAGGGTAAACACTGGCCGAGGGCCCCGAAAAAAAATGAGTAATTAGGAAAGTGAGTAGTTTGGAAGTTTTTCTTAGTTTATATCATTGATGTCAATGGAAAGGCTCCATCGCTTCCATTTTTTTAAAAATTAGGGAGAAAGGTTATCACAAAAATCGGTTAATCCTAAAAGATTAGTTATAGGAACACAACAAACTAAACAACATCTACCTTAACAAGTGCATGTATTTTTCCTCTTTTAAAAATGCTTTTGTAATACGTTTTTTAGATACGATGTACCGTTTTATCTCACCTGTGAAATGCCTAAATAGTTGCTGACATTTTCTGATAAATATATGAAGTCGCCATCGTTCGACAGTACGATGATGAAGCCTTCGAGTGATTTTAGGAGTATCGATTCGTCGTGTGATTCGCATTTTTTGGATTTTCCTAGTGCTGGCACTGAAAGAAAAAAGAAAGGAGTGATTAAAAAATGGCGTCAAGAAGGTTGGCTCTGCACTTCCTACGCAATGCTGTCATCAGTTCGTAAAGGATTATGTTCAGCACTAATTAGCATCTCTGAAAAAAAAGTTAGCTAAGAAAAAATTAAATGGATCAAGTTAGTCAAACACAATTAACATTTGCATATTTAGCATGTTTTTCTGTCCAATTTTGGGGCTCTTTAGAATTTGGCTCTCAGGAAGGTTTTGGAGGCAGGTACGCTTTTAGACAAAGTTATCTCTTGCCGATGGATGGCACTATCCCTTTCCCTGAGAAAAATTCTTGCGGGTACACATGATCGAAACTATGTATCATACAAATGGCTTGGATGACGATCCACGCCCAGTCAAGCAGCTAGCTGAGTCCGACTGCTACACACATGCATCGGCAGGCCCACGTAAGTGAATGATTTACATGCGAGGATCGGAAATTTCTCCATCAGTCTCTATGATGAGTGAAATATGTCTAATGGGTGCGCAGAATTGCCGCGACTAGAGACGTTTAAGCATACCAACGTCAAAAAATTGAGATACACCCTCTACCACCAACCAATTTTTTACCCCTAAGAAATTTTTCAAAAATGACCAGGATCCTCTGAAGACTCAAAAAACAAAGTTTGAGCGATTTTAATTTTTTTACTTTTTTGCCCTACCTGGGACACCACATCGATTTTCAGAAACAATAAATCTTCTTGGCATAGTAATAACCTTGATGGAAATTTCCTCAAAATCCGACCGGTACTTTTCAAGTTATACGGGATCAAGGCTATGACTATGACTTTACTAATTTTTTTTAATTGATTTTATTTCAACCGCACCGCGCGTCGCCGCGCCCCCTTTACATGTCGTCACTGTCTGTGCTTTGAAAACCATTGGATTAAAACATTTCACGATCTTCCACTCACTGTCTTTGACGTATATGAAATTAATGCATCGCTCCTACGTCAACTGAGAAGTTCAAATATACGCAAGCTAAATATATATGGGCAGATGGCATCAATCCTATCAATAATTAATAAGACATTTTATAACCACATATCCTTTGATACGAGCAAGGGTATCTGAAATGCAAACCATTCTCAGCATCTGACTATCGAGCAACGTTGAACAAATGATTGTGCTTATTACAAAACAACAATAAATTACTACGTCAGTGCATACAAAGATCATCACATTAGTCTGGACAAATTAAGAAAACCAAGGAAAATGTAAGACACGAATTTTTCGTATTATTGACTACTTTTTACTACTTATTTTTAAGCTCTACCTTCCGAAAAGCAGAAATCTAAACCGTGGGTGACGCCAAAAATCCAACAGTCCAGCCTAGATCTAAGAAAACTACATAATTTGGAGAAAAGGCATGAAGACAATGTAAGTATGAGACAGCAGTACATTGACAACAAGAAAGAACACAAGAAATTAATTTCTTCAACAAAAAAAGAGTATTACAGTAGTCTAATAAAATCCAGCAACAACAAAGCTAAAAAAATATGGGAAATAGTCAATGAAGAAACCGGAAGAGTAAAGAAACATCATCAAATAGTGCTGAAAAATGAAGACAAAGAATTTACTGACATCCTCGTACCCGACAAGTTTGGCAAGTATTTTTCCACAATAGCAGAGAGCAAGTTAGCAGAACACTTTAAATGTGACAACCCATCAAGATGTCCATCACAAAATCGGGTAGCATCATCAATATTCTACGAGGATGTCACCACTGAAGAGATCGTGGAAGTAATCAGCAGCCTTCCAAATAAAAGAAGCAGTGTAAATGATGGAATTTCAACGCGTGTGATAAAGTTTGGGAAACGTGAAATATCTTCCCCCCCTACCAGTCCTTATTAATAAATCAGTGAAGCAAGGTAAATTCCCGAAATGCTTGAAACTAGCTATTGTTATTCCCGTATACAAAAAGGGTGACCGTACAGACCTTGAAAACTACAGACCAATATCACTTTTATCGATGATCTCTAAAGTCATTGAAAAATGTCTGTATAAACGTATATTATGTTTTCTCAATCGCTATAATGTCTTATCAGATACCCAGCATGGGTTTAGACCATCACGAACTATAGAAACGGCGACCTTTGACTTTTTTCCCATATATATAGAGAAGTAGACGAAAACAGATACGTTGCTGGACTATTTTTTGACCTTTCGAAAGCATTCGATATAATGGATATTTCGTTTATCGTGGAAAAATTGTACTGCTTAGGTATAAGGGATTTTATTCTCAGCTGGATCCAGTCTTTCCTCACAGATAGAAAATTGAAAACGAAGGTCAATGGTCATACGTCAACTCAATATTCCGTGAATATAGGTGCGACACAAGGCTCAGTACTTGCACCACTGCTCTTCATTGTATACATAAATGACTTGAAATTGTCTGGCTTCATGATTAATTATGCGGATGACACATCTATCGTCGTCAGTGCCACGACACCGCAGGATCTTCTCGAATCTATTGAGAAAGACAAAAGTGAAATGAGCAAGTGGTGCCAGTCTAACCGCCTCATTTTGAATGAAGATAAGACTGTTGAAATTCATTTCTTCAACAAGAAACCACGCATGGATATTGATAGCTTTTCAGATCAAACTGTCTTCTTAGGAACTCATGTTGATAGTTAGTTAAGCTGGCAACCACAAATAAATCACATTTGCAACAAAATTAACAGTGCTTATTTTGCAATATTGAAATTAAAGCCTAACATCCATCTAAACTCACTCTTAGATATGTACTACGCGCTAGTTTATTCTCACCTCACCAACAATATAATCATATGGGGACAGGCAACAATGATTAACAGATTATTCATACTGCAGAAAAGAGTACTTCGATTAATTTTTAATATTATTAAGAGGGACTCTTGTAAAGAAATATTTAGACGCTATAATCTGCTTACATTAACTTCCATCTATATCTACAAATGTGCCATCTTCGCATTTGAACATAGCAATAGATTTGTTCGTAACAACGCCATTAATAGTCAATACAACACTAGAATAGGGCATGATCTGAGTATACCAACACATAACTCTGCCCTATTCCAAAAATCTCCCACTCTAGCGTGCACTAAGGTATACAATAATCTGCCGAGTGAGTTGCGGAGAAGCACTAATATCCTTGCGCTGAAAAAACATCTCACGAAATATCTGGTTGAAAAATGCTATTACTCTCTACATGAGTTTTACTAACACATGAAAGTATCTGTTTTTTAAATTCTTTTAAGCTGTTAATCATTTCGTTATCAGTGAATTGTCTGTTATCGTGGAGTAAATGTATTTTAATTTCACTTTTTATTCGAGTTTTAACGAACGTATGTATGTTTTCTTTTTAAGCTTTTAACCATTTGTCCTCACTGCTCGATGTTTATTGTGTTTATATATTATGTATTTCTATCAGATTCTCCTACCGCTTTTCTTTTCTTTGTATCAGCTTCAATGATTTTTACCGGCTAGACGAACATTTTTTGTGATAGAAAAAGTCGCTGTATATGTATATATTTTTACCGTTACAGATTGAACACATTACGATTCTTGCACTGTACCTGTACCTATAATGTGATTTAACCTTTTAAAATGTTTTGTAATTGTAATGTCCTTATTTATTTTATAATTATACTAAGTGACATATAAATCCGAACACCCAGTTTAAATGGTTTCATTTTAATAAAATTTTGTATAAGTACTTAATGAAGCATAATAAGTAAATGATAAAAATTTCAAAATGATTGCACTGCTTTAAAGCCCTTTGACCTTTAATAATGTGTGGATGCACCCTGATGTGATACGCATTCTCCAACGCGCCTAGGCATGCTTCTGATCAGGTGGTCAATGTCCTCCTGTGGTATCTCATTCCAGGCAACCACCAACTCCTCTCGAAGTGCTTCTAGAGTCTGAGGAGGACGTTGCAAATTGAGCAATCTCCTACCCATCATATCCCCCACGTGCTCAATTGGGGATAAGTCGGGAGATCTTGGTGGCGATGGTAACAATGTGACATCATTATGTTGAAAGAAGTCTATTGGGACTCTTGCAACATGTGGTCGGGCATTATCTTGTTGGAAAGTTGGATCTGCCAGGGTGTCAAGATAGGGTAAAAGATGGGGTTCTAGAACTTCGTGGATATAACGCTGCGCGTTCATGTTACTTCTGATGAAGATTAAAGGTGACCTGGAACCATAAGCTATAGCACCCCAAACCATAACTCCAACGAATGAGAAGTTTTGGCTTGTTTTCATACCGGCCACACTGGGTCCTCCCTTTAACTCGAGAACACCGACGTAATCGCCTTGAGTGGTGCAGACAACGGTCACTCTGGGATCAGGAATGGAACAGTATTGCCTTTAGTGACGAGTCTCGATTTTGTTTAGGCATGCACGATGGTCGTGCCAGGGTTAGAAGGCGACGTGGCGAAAGGAGGAATCCGCAGTTTTTTGTTGAAAGACATGTTCATCACACTGTTGGAGTTATGGTTTGGGGTGCTATAGCTTATGGTTCCAGGTCACCTTTAATCTTCATCAGAGGTAACATGAACGCGCAGCGTTATATCCACGATGTTCTAGAACCCCATCTTTTATCCTATCTTGACACCCTGGCAGATCCAACTTTCCAACAAGATAATGCCCGACCACATGTTGCAAGAGTCAAAATAGACTTCTTTCAACATAATGATGTCACATTGTTACCATGGCCACCAAGATCTCCCGACTTATCCCCAATTGAGCATGTGTGGGATATCATGGGTAGGAGATTGCTGAATTTGCAACGTCCTCCTCAGACTCTAGAAGCACTTCGAGAGGAGTTGGTGGTTGCCCGGAATGAGATACCACAGGGGGACATTGACCACCTGATCAGAAGCATGCCTAAGCGCGTTGGAGAATGCGTAGCACATCAGGGTGCATCCACACATTATTAAAGGTCAAAGGGCTTTAAAGCAGTGCAATCATTTTGAAATTTTTATCATTTACTTATTATGCTTCATTAAGTACTTATACAAAATTTTATTAAAATAAAACCATTTAAACTGGGTGTTCGGATTTATATGTCACTTAGTATATAAGTATTTTTCTGGCATATTTGCTCAAACGCATATATGACCCTCAAATTGATATTGACAAGTCTTATATCATGTAACATGATCTAATAGGACAATAAACTATCTATCTATCTATCTATCTAACTGTTAGACACGTTAAAACACGATAGCATTAAAAAGGTTGCCTATTGGTTTTGTGGGCTTTTTGATTTTCAACTGTTCATAATTATTTGAAATGTTCGATTACTCGAGTTTACGATACATCAGCTAGTAGATATCATTAAATTTACATATTTTACGGCGTCGTTAGCAAGATACAGGGCGTTCAAGTTAATTTCTTTGAATTTATATATTTTTAATATCTCTTAAATTACTTAGAAGATTTCGAGATACTCTGTTATCCCAGATGCAGATCAATTTTTTTATATGGAGTTTCTTTTCTGTTCCAGTTGGTATATATAAACCTAAATAATCGCATATTTAAAATCAAAAACACTCATACTTAATAAATAAACGTTTTGATATAGAGTATTATAAAAGCATTTCACTGAAAATTTCAAAAATCAATCTAACATGCCAGGGTTTCGATGTTTAAATCTAACAGCACATTAAATTGATAGTACCTATTATCAATTTCTAAATTTACACGATTTTTTTGGTAATGACTGATATCAGGCTAACAGAAT